CTGAAGGAAGTTGACATTTTTGGTCATCTTGAAGTTGCCAAAGTCCCAAATTTTCTTCTGTGTTTAGGGTTATTGTTAGGCAGCGAACTCTAGTGGTCATAGTAATTATGGTGGGAGGGAACGAGGAAGCCAGGTGAGGTAAGAGCGAGAAAGTCCACTTAGGGGGGAGACCAGGGTGGATGGAAGGGTCAAACTCAGGATTTTCACCAAACCAAGTAGTTTGTGGCACCATATTATTGTTACCATGATGGCAAAGCTCTATTTAGGTATGAGGACGTGTTGCATATTTTCCAATTCTACACAAAGTGGCTTTAAGGGACTGTTAAGCTGACTTCAAGGATGGACAGATGAATTCTACTGACTTTTCTACAGATCTATTCTACAGATTTTCATCCATCATTAGGTTAAAATTTAAATACTTTGTTTATGACCAGCAAAACAAATGACATTCCCAACAGCCATTATTGGGACATCACAGTAGGAAAAGCATTAAATGTAAAGTGTAAATAAAAGAATTACTGATGGCTGAGATCCTTGTAGTGGCTTCACTTTCAGGGTCCTGGTGTTGTGCATGCTTGCTCACTGTCACACTGTCAGACACTGTTATTAGTAAGACCTGTGTGTTTCCTACTATGACAAATCAGAACGTGTACTGTCAAGAAATCCGTCATGTTAGCATTGTCATTGTTACCATGCTGATTTATAGTATTTAGTTGAAAGCACCACATTAACTAATTAGCCTGAGAGCTGCTAATGTTGCTGGAGACTCTTTTTCAATAATGTCAGCATGTTAATGAACAAATCCTAATATCTAAAACTCTTTTAGTAAAATTAAACCCATTTTTTTTTTTGCTAACAAATAAAATAGAAGCTCAGTAACAACATCAGCCTTTAATATACTTTAGTGTACTGTGTCAAAATAAATGCATGTACTTTATCGAACTATGTTTTCTTTAACTGACTTGCCCTGTATTTTTCAATGGACATCTCTCTTTCTAGCTTCCTATAGCCTGGTTCGCATTTCCTAATTCCAGTATTTGCTTTGAGTTATGAAAGTACTGACCCTAGATGTAATTTCTGGGAAACCTGTGACACCAGTCCCTCAGTCTGACCTGCTGTCCCACACCCAGACAGATTTTTGAAATGTCAGTTATCTTAGGTGTCTTGTCTGAAATGACACTACACTGCTGTCACATAAGAAATTTTCAAGACAGTTGACTGCAGTCCACGTGTGTCTGTTGTCTCCTCCTAAGTTTGAAGACTATAAAAAAGGAAAAAAAAGCTTTATTCTTTCCTGGAAATTAAAGACATAAAACCAGAGATTTGAGTCATGTCTTTGACCTACATCCCCTTGTGCATAGCCTTGTGTCACTTTGAATGCACACTGAAAAAGCTACTGGAGTTAGTGCAGCTATGCAACTGGTTTACCACGATAGATATGAAAGATGCTCACATTCACCTTTTTGCCAGATCAATTTGCAGGAGATCGCTCCTCGCATATGTCATTGTTAAGCTGTTCATTTTCCCACCTGATGGCTTTTTAGTCTTGGTGAGAATAAAACGAGAGCATCCACCAATCATTGTGGAAGCCCCTTGTTGCACAAAAGCCCTATCATGCAGAAGTGCACTCTCTGATGTCACGGTGTACTGACACACCCCAGAGTACACTTCTACATGCAACAATGTAAGAAGTTAAAACACTGGAGGTCAGCAAAATCAAGATTTTCAGTGGGTGCTAAGTTTCACTTTAAAGGATTGGAGCCATATTATTAAAGGGACAGTTTAGTTTATGTCCATGCTCATTGCATGATAATGCTACACATCACTAATAATTTGAGAAACAAATCATCACATTTGCTTTGTACTGTTACATCATTTCGTGCAGGCTAAAATCAACACTTTGACTACCAAATGAAAAATTGAATGCCGGCACCAGTATTAGCTAGTGTAGTAATGTGGCAAGCCATACAACTACAGTATTTTGCGACGGATAATGTTAGCAACTGGTCGGCGTTCGCAGGCAAGCTAACGTGTCCAATAGGATGAAAGGCAACTTTGAGTTAGTTTTTATATCCAAAACAAAGCGAAGGCCTCTCCAAGACTCAAATGCCTTTCCGATGTTGACTGTGTTTTTGCCTGACGTTGAAACTGATTCATGTTTGGCCTGACAGGCTTTGGCACATAAAACTTTTTGGTTGTTTTTATCCTTACATGGAGTTTGTGTTGTAGTCTGTATTGTGCTGGGAGCTGGTTGTTTTTTGGTGTTAGCGGACTCCATTTCGTTAGCTGTGGTGTTGTCGATTTGTATTCAGTACAGAATCAATAGGCAAGAGGCTTGGGAGCGAGCATGAATGTCACAGCCTACATAAACCAATGGATTTTGTGGAAAATCCCATCCTATTTCTTCATATAGGACACAGAATAGTGGCTGTTCCAAGTGACCGAGAAAGCAGGCGTGTGCTTAATTTTTATGAGAGGTTAGCGTAACATTTCATTAAGAAATGTTACATATAGGCCCTTTGATGTTATAAATTACTCAAGTGCTTTTCTTGCCATGAAACATTTATTTTATTTTTTCTAGTTCCAAATTTCAACATACTCCACAAAAGTGAATGCATAAGCTCATACAGTTAAAGAAATGTGTCTGTGCCATTATTAATAGTTACTATTAAATGAAATAACTCTGCAGTCAGCTGAGTCATTGCAACAGGCTGATGTTCATGCTTTAATTTATTGTTATTCCGATGTTAGTTTAAATATGTATGTATGTATGTATATGTTTATGTACAATTTACTGTGTTACCATTTCTCTGAATGTTCTCTTCAATGCTCAATAGACTCATTTGGTTTCTTAGGTAGACACATCACATCAACTCGCCTGACCTGAAATTGGGTCATTGAATTGGAAGCTAATGACCATTAAATAACCTTATATAACCTGAAGCTGAACAGGAATAAGTATGATGGCGGGAGGATCATGCCACACAGAGTAGTATTGTTTTTGGACTTTGTATTAGTTGTGTTTCTTGTATAATGCTACTGTTGTTAAAGTCCATACCCAGATTCTGATCCTCTTAATATCAGCCAGAACTCCTCGTCATGGGACCAGTTATGTTGTAGGTTTTGCAGCTGCCAGAGGGCTGCATTGCTTGTGACTACACACACATTGACACGCTGTACACATAAAATCAAAATACACAACACCCATGCAGGAAGGATGTGTTTATTTGTTAAAGAGTTTCGTGAGAAGGGAAGAGGATAGAAGTTAAGAGTTTAAATGTGTTGCAACCCTGAAATCACATGCACTATGTGTGTGTGTGTATTGAAAGTAAATGTATGATTTATTACAGTGCTAGGAGAGCCACAAATGTGCAGAAATCATGGTGCACAGGGGTCAAGCCTGTGCACCATGATTTGTACACAAGATCTTGCTGCTCACCTTTCCCAAAACCAATCATATCTTTCTACAGGGTCAAAAAATCTAAATTCCCTTTGAGTTAAAGTTGATCCAGAATCTGTATTGGTGGGTTAATTTTATTTGACCGTTATGCTGTATTATGGTTCATTAAACAGCATTAGCATTAGCAACATATTGTTATCAAAATGGAAGAATACAGAATAGGACATTACATGAACAGTAAAATTGGTTATGGGAGAAGTTGTTAGTGTGCCTTTGTGTACATAAACCAAGTACAAGTCCAAAGGCAAGCAGAGAGTGATGGAGCAAAGAGATCAAAACGGGGTTAGGGAAGCAAGGACAAGTATCATAAGACCTTGCACTTCCCCCTCGAAGGAACAGAAACTGGAAGATGGCCATGCTTAAATTCCTCAACATCTTTCTTCTGCTGTTGACAAATGACCATTATTCACAATCTACCATTCAGCCTCACCACCGTTCTGTACACATGGTGGAGTGCTCTCAGCTAAATGTCATCTTGGATAGAGATGAAAGGCATGCTTTATTGTTCGGCCTGTTAGAGAAACAAACATGTTCCTGGTTCAGGTCTCTCTCTGTAGTAACTCAGCTATATCTCATTGCATCCTCTGCAGAAATCATGTGACAGAGAAATTAAAGTACATGCATAGATTAGTGCACCTCTGATCTCTGTCATTGCTGGTTCTGTGCATACATTGAGAAGCACAATTGTGATTTTATATTGCTCAGTTTTGACTGTAGTAAAGTATCTTTATGCGTCTATAATCAATATTTTTTTATATAAACAATGGATCATACAACTACTTGGATGTGAAAGGGGTCACTCGCAGTTGTGAACCCACAGAGAATAAATTTTTCAAATTTTTTTAAATTCCCAGACTCTGCACTTCCCTTCAGCTGTTTGGAGTTTTATTGCAGCTTATTGTTTTGGTTTTCCACCAGAATCAATGTTTTGGTTTAATCTCAATACTCTCATACATTGCTTTTGGCTGCAGCGCTGTTTTTTAGCTAAAAAGCTCTAATGATCCACACACACACTACCTGCTCAGCACCAAACGGGAGGCAGACGGAGATACTAGCTGGTGAACATAATAGAGCATTTAGCAGCAAAAAAAAAATTATATTTCCATAATGTGTCAGTGTTGTGTTTACAGCTTGCATACGCTATTGCAGGTTTAAATCAATTTATTTAAATTATTTATTTAAAAATAAATTTATTTATTTATAAAGTGAGCGAGATGTTAACTCTGAATGAGTGAATGTAGAATCCTCTCCTGCGCGTCTGCGTCCTTCTTTCCTTTTTTACGATTAAAACATTACAAAGACATTTAATATCTGGCCAAATGATCCAAAATAAATACCGTGTAATCCTTCCATTATACTAATTTCTCCCATCCTTCTTTAGTCTTTGCAGAAGTATGTTCTTCTGACCTTTCCCCAGAGACTCAAAAGCCAAAGCTCCTCCCCGCCCTAATAAAATATGCTCTGAGTCATGTGCTGAAATACAATCAATATAGATTTTATCTGTTATTGCATAACAGCAGAAGATGTGAGCAAGATTTCTACAGGCTGCACACCAAAGTTGGATTTTCTGCTGATGATGGACACAAAAAATGGTTATGGATATCACAACCCATGTGGGTTCCTAGAAGACAAATTGTTTTGATCCTCTGCATGATTTTTGTTATTCATTTTCAGTCCTTCCTTAAGGGTCAAAAACTGAAGAAAGGAAGGGGAGAAGAAGACACACAAAAGAGGGTATGATAAGAGAGGAAAAACGTTTCAATTAATTCCTTGAAGTTCAACAAACAAACAGGAAAATGGCTATTCTATTTCTATTTGTGCACACACGCACAGACCTACTGACACACTCAGAGGCTTCCCCGGAGCAGGGATTGGACGAGAGACAAAGAGAGAGGGAGAGCACTTCTTTCCCACCCCTCCACAGCCGCTTCAACCTACTACCAGTAGTCCTGTCAGAGTGAGATATGAGAACAGGGCGGCGATGACGCCGGGCCACTTGGACTCCTAGACCACCTCAGACTCAACACCTCTCCCGTCCACTTCTCTCACACTCAGCCGCGTTTCATTTCATCGCCGTGGAATGGATTCCCGGCTGCTGATTGGACCGGGGATGCCCACACCGGACCCGACAGCCCGGACACCCTGGAACATCAGCTCCATCAGTCCCCACAGGCTCATGGAGCTGTCTCCAGTCGCTACGTCTGTAAGTATCCTGCACCCACGGCTTTTTTGTGTATTTTAGTTTGTTTGTTTGTTTGTTTTTGGCTGCGTGAACCTCGGTGTGAATGGAGAGCTTCTGTGCGCCGCAGCGATGCGTAAACGCGGACGCATCCGATCCAGAGAAGCTAAATACCTTTTTTTTGTTTTGTAAGTGTTTTCATTCCTCCTCCATATAATTCATAACATATGAACGCCGCACAAGGGAAGTGTGAGTGAGCGAGATGTTAACTCTGAATGAGTGAATGCAGAATCCTGTCCTGCGCGTCTGCGCTCCGTTCATTCAGCACCGCACCTGAATGAAGGCAGGAGTGAAGCGCAAATCCTGTTAGCTCTACTGTTTCTTCAGCTTGTACTATTGCAGAAAATGGTTTTAAAAGCTGCTGTGGGTGAAGGGTGTGTATCACCTTTTTGTGTGCGTGTTAAAAACGCCATTCGTATATTCTTATTGCAGTATTGCTCATAATTATCTATATAGTGAGTTTATGGATCTCATCTCCTGTCAGTATGGATCTCATCTCCTGTCAGTATTCCTTGTAATATTTGAGATGACTTGTGTGTGTGCTCATTTAGTGTTGCACTCAGTGGCGTTCATGTGGATCCATTTGATCATCACATAAATTCTTGCCCTCCCAATCTCATGTAAGCGCTTCAATAGACCCATTTGGGTCCCAATCTTAATTTACCGCATGAAGGCTGCAGGCTCAGTTCAGTTCAGATCTTTATTATCACACAAGAGGAAATTCTGTTTGCAGCAAGGCACCATAAAAACATAAAACAGCTGGTTTTGTACAGCATGCTGATTTGGATTGTTGGTTTTAAAATTTAAAGGCATGTGATCATGCAAGCTCTAACATCACGTTTACATGTGACATTTAATTCTGACATTACACATTTTTATTCCAAGAGGTGTGGTCACCAGCAAGAGCAATGTGTTCAAGTGTCATGGATGATTGGACTCCATCTCTCTCTGTCTTCCTCTGTGTCTGAAGGATGGGTCAGTTTACGCATTGACTTCCAGGAAATCCTTTTATACAGATGTGTAGACCAATAGGCTACAGTATCCAGAGTATAGAGTATCCACCTCTGTACATAAAATAAATATTTAAAAAAATAGTGTTTCTTCAAACCGAGTAAGTTCATTAAGATTTTTACCTTATTTTCTAAAATGAATAAAAAATTAGAAGCTAGCTACCAGTCACCTGTTTTTTTTCCACACAGCCGACATTGGATGCTTGTTATCTTAGCTAGCTAGCTAATAATATTAACTTACTGATTAGCTTACAAAACACAAATTTAATTTCCTGAAAAAAACTACACAGATCCCCCAGGTCAGCTGTTACAGTTTACTGCAGAACAACTCAAGAAAAGTTTGTCTTGATGTTCCTGCTTTCCTACTCTACGTACAATTCCCCAAAAGTCTGCAGGCACCTGCTCAAACAAAACTTTGACGTTTACTTTGATTTTTTTAGTTTGGCCAATATCCCCTCTCTGCTAACATGGATGGGCTGGGGTTTATGACCTACACTGCAGCCAGCCGCCAGGGGGCTGCTTCACCTTTGGGGAGCTGTCATATTGTCCATCTATATAGAGCCTATGGTTTCGTCTCTGACATTGAAGTCCAGACCTGCAGGCTTCAGTCTCTACTGGTGTTGTGGTCTGGCCTTCATGGTGGGAGAGCGGGGAAAGCTGATACTGAAGCAGTGCCTGAGGGCAGCTTCTGCTGAGACAGATGAGATCTTGTACTCTGCAATAAGTGTGGTTTTCATTTAAAAAGTCTTTTAAAACCTTCTGTGTTTCTCTCTAGAGACCTCTTTTCCTTTTAACAATGTTTGTTGTATTTTGTCTCTTGATTATCTATCTAATCTACAATCTCTGGATAATTAAAAAAAATATGGGCCCAATTGATGAATGTGTATGCATGCAAACACGTTTTTGCAGGGGTGTGTCTGTGAAATGAAAACGATGTGCGTGCTGATGTGATTGAGCGTGCCTATAAGTGGATTTGTGTGAGAGAGTAAGTGTGTGTGTATAACTCAGTATTGTGCTATCATGAGTAGCTACTGACTCAGATAATCAAGATCCAATGAAAATACATTTCTCTACTGTAAATGAACCATTGCACTGATTATTCGCATGATAACGGTGCCTCTGGAGGCAGTCTTTATTTAGAGGGAAGCCCCTCAGCCATGTTTATTAAATGAGTCTTGGCTGTTACACAGAAATGTGTGTGTGTGTGTGTGTGTGTGTGTGTGTGTGTGTGTGTGTGTGCGTGTCTATATGTTGCATACAAGCAAAAGTCAATTACAGTACATATGTTTGTAAGCGTTCAAACACATGTACACAAGTGTGAGTAGCTATTTTTGCTTGTTCATGCTCACATGCATGTGTTTTTTAATTCAGATTAAACTCCTTCTCCTTTACTCTTCTCTCACTCTCTCTCCTTTATCTTTATCTTCTTTCTATCTTGCTTTAGTTGTCGTTGCCTGTTCTAAGTGAATGTGTACTAGACAGCCACAAGATCATTTACATTTATATGACTTGCTCTCCACTGACGAAGGAAAGCCCAGAAATTCTGGCACCATGCCTTTAGTACGTGCTCACAGACTATAGAGAGAGTATAGAGAGATATTAACGCGCACTATTTCCGTCTTTAAACCCTACACAAACACACTGTAGAGGAGACATCCATGTCGTGTTGCTCACCATGCATCTTTCTTCCTGTGTGATCAGCATTAATCTGACCCCTAGCCGCCAGAGCTAGAAGGAAAGGAGTGATCGAGAGATTTAGTGTACAGAGGAACAGACGTGAAGGAGGGAATTAGCAGGGATAGGAGTGATGAGAAAGACAGATCTAGCAGAGAGAGTGCGAGGGATATGAAAAGGAGAAACCAAACCTGGGAAGAAATGAAGCTGGGAGGGAGTAAGACCTTGAAGACGAAGGTGTCAGACTGGATCCAAGTGTGTTTACATTCCACACACACCACATCTGCATATCATCTTCACTTACTGCTCTTGTCCCCGCTTTCAGTAACACATCCCAATGCCCTTTTCACTCATTTGCTTACAGAACCACCATCACTTTTCGCTATATGTAGGCTACTTTTCAAATGTCCTCCTTTTAGTAACAGGAACTTGTAAATGCAGAAAAGTAAGACTGCTGAAACACAAACGCAGACACACATGCACACTTAATTGCAGTGGCCAGGATTAATGAGAGGAGATGTGTGTGTTCCAATTGATCTCTGGGTGGTAATAAGATCAAGCTTAGTTGATGTAATCCTGGTTAGTGGGTGTGTGTGTGTGTGTGTGTGTGTGAGAGAGAGCGCATCTGCATTAAAGAATCACAGTGAGAGAAAATAGGAAAGTGTTAATGCACGGAGTGTGTCAGAAATTAATTCTCACAATTATTATTCAGAAATATGATTCTGAAATGAGCCATTCTGCATAATTACTACTTTTACTTTTACTCCATAAGTGTCAGCAAAATAGTGTGAAACCAACAACAGAATGTGAATGGTTCTGTCCCAGTGCTCGCGTGGGAGCATGAAACAAACAAAATGGGGACCCACTTGTATAAACATTGTGCCATAGTGCTACTAGTGGTCAAAAACGCCACAGTGTACCTATAAATACAACTCTGAGGCAGCAATAGAATACTGCTACCTTCAAGTATTTCCATTTTGTGCTACTTAGCACCTCTATTCCACATTTTAGAAGGAATATTGTAATCTTTACTACTCATTTCTGTGATTGCTGGAATCATTATTTTACAGGTAAAGATTTTACAAAACAGGATATATCAGTTTGCAATTTTCACTACAGATGTTTTTATATCCAACAGCATATAAGTTGTTTGATTTCAGCACTACTGGACAAGCTACAATATTAAAATACTGCTTGGATGTTAATGTATAATCTAATCAGAACTTTTACAGCTGATGCTCAGTGAATGTGAAAACAAAAGCACTTTTATTCATAATAGTACAGTATTTTTCTATTGTGGTATTGCTTCTTTCAAGCAAGGATCTGAATATATCTTCCATCATTGCTTCATGGTTTAACTCTGCTCATGATTAGCCATTTTATGCATTTCATTGTGTAAATGTGACTTTTCAAACTGTGTCAATTCTTATTACCAGATACTGTGATTGACAGGTACTGTAACAGTTTAACAGTAAGGCCTTGTAGAGTTTCTTTGTGGCTGACAGAGGTTGGTAGAAGTCATGACCTCCAAAACAGAATAGTTACTGGAGTATAATTAATGGATCATTGCTTTTATTTTCTCTCAGCTCTTGAAATAGAATGAACTCTTCAGTGTCTGTACTTATGTGCTATAGATCACTTAAAGTCACCTACTGATGTTGAAACCTCAAGTTAACATGCCAAACCAGTCATTATCACCCTAATTATTTGACTAAATCCTATTAAGTTATTATTTGAAGAGAATGTGTATGGAGCGGGCTCCAGACTAAGTGGATTTTCTCTCACTGTAGGGATGTATCTAACATTTGCTGACACACTTAAGTGCTGAATCTGAATATGTACCCACCGACCCCTATAACCAATTATTCTAGTGTGGTGCAGTTTTATTGCTTTGAATGTCAACACAATCAATAATAAAATATGTCTTTATATTTCCTTTTCTTTAATTTGATCTTAAATTAAAATTAAAAAGGGAAAAATTTAAAAATCACTAATAAAAAAAATATAGTAATCCAGATAGTCAGCCTATAATTAAATGTTAGAAAGAAAAAGGAAACTGAAAATGGGTTTTAAGATTATGAAAAGTGAAATTTAAAATCAAAAATGGAAAAGCTTAAATGTAAATGCTTGGGAAAAGAAGTCATTACAATTCAGGCTTTAAGCTTTCCTTCACAGCATTGCTGAGACCTGCAGTAAAATCAGAACAGTTTTTGAGTGACATTGCTATCCTGTTTTCCTGTTGCTAGAGTCCCATGGTTCCAAGCCACCCATTTCCAACAGTAGACGTCCCAGACCACGCTCACTATACAATTGGTGTTGTCATCCTGGCCGTGGGCATCACAGGCATGCTGGGAAACTTCCTGGTCATATATGCTTTCTGCAGGTACTTTTTTTTTTACACTTGTTTCACTTGTTTAGCATCACATTTTTGGTTTATAGTATCTGTGATAATAACATATGTGATGTGTGCGTGCAGGAGCCGGAGCTTGCGCACACCCTCCAACATTTTCATCATTAACCTGGCAGTCACAGACTTCTTTATGTGTCTTACTCAGACACCCACCTTCTTCATCAACAGCATGCACAAGCGATGGATCTTTGGAAAGAAAGGTAAGACATGTGTGTGCAGTGAAATGGTTTAGTGTTTCAACTTTATTACATAACATTTTGCACTTTATATTTAAATATAGTACCTAACCAACAACCTAAACACAGACTAATGATATTATAACACTCTTTTACATGTGCATGCATGCATACACACACACACTCTAAATTACAAGGGGAGTTTATTGTTTCTTTACCGTCTTGAGTGTGACCTACAGTTCCATTAAGATTCTTTTTTTTAAACCTGTCCTGCCCAGCAGCCTGGTGTAGAGTATGATGAGCTGGATACCATATTGTGCTAGACAGATTTTACTTTAACAAGAGAGTATTAATATACTCCTTTGTCTGTTTTATTATTTATTTAATTATGTATTGATTTGTCACCGGCCAGACAGGGGGGCAGACGTGGGGATAGGGGGGTACAAACAGACAGCACAGAGAAAGGACAACACCTGTAAGAGAAGGGGGATGGAAGGTGGGGACAACAGGGAATAGCAGAGGGAAACACCAATTGCAGAAAGCAACGAAACCTGCAATGGAACAGAGAGGGGGGCTTGGGGAGGAGAAAAACAACAAAAACAAACAAAAACAAAAACAAACAAACAATAAAAATAATAATAATAGTAAAAGACAACCAGCCGAACAGCAGCAATAAACAGTAAGATATAAACATAGTAAGACAACTAAGAGAAAAATGAAAACAACAAACAGTCACGCACAATAAATAAGCAACACAGCACAGCCACCAGAGCTGGAATAATAACAATTAATTTAAATAAGTAACTGAAAGAAAAGCATCAGGAATAATTCTACCAGGGACAACCTAAATTTGTTTGTGTCTATGTGTGAGAGTGTGTGTGTGAGTGCGTGTGGGTGAATGTGTCTGTATATATGTGTGTGTGTGTGTGTGTGTGTGTACATGTGTGTGCGCATAAGCCTGTTAAAGAATGTAGTTGTTAGTGAGAGTGAGACGCTACGACTGTGCCACACCGACCCCAGCAACAGGCAGGCAACAACCCCAGTAGCCAATAGGGATGGAAGAAATAAATAAATAAATAACAAAAAACTAAATATATGACTCCCAGATGCACCACGATGCAAACGCGGAAGACCCCAACCCAACCAACAGACGCCCAAAAATAAAAAGTAAAAAATAAAATAAAAACGACCAGCCAAATGCCAGTTGACAACGAAATGATGACGGAAAGCAAGTCCCAGCCGGCAGCAAACGCACTGTGCAGGTCACCGTGCACCCGCCAATAAAAGTCTGCCGTCCCCACAAACGCCGGAAAAACTAAGGCCGCCTGCGCCAGCCGACATCCCCCATGCACAGCACGCCCCCACCCCGCCGTGCAACACCAGCCAAACCAGCAACGAGGCAAAATCAACTAGCTCAGCTGCATGCCACCAACAACCCACCTACCCGTCAAGGGCCGAGAACTCCAGGCACAAACCAAGAATAAACCGGAGCACAGCCTTGCCTTCCATTAAGATTCTGTACACACACACACACACACACACAAACCTACCGTCCTCTATCACCCTTTTCTGCTACAATGTAAACAGCAGCATCAAAGCCTTACTCTGCAGTATCCAAATGCCACTGATCACAAAAAACAAAGTAAGAATGCTTGTAGGAATGCATGTGTTCTACCTGAGTGCATTTGGAAAGGGGTTGTACAGTAGTGTATTTTATCAGCGTGAATAGAGACAGAGAGGTGGTAAAAGAGGCTCCAAACTCCACAGATTAAACACTGATAGAACGGAGCAAGAGAAAAATATATATGTGGAATGAATGAGGCAGATGAAAAGCAAAGCAAAAGCCAACTGTAACTTGTCTTTTATTTGTGTAAATCCATCTGTTTTACTAGAATTCCGTAGAAGCCAATGCAGCATTTAATGATGGGTATTTTTAGTAGCAGTGTGGCTCTAGGGATTGCAATGCTGGTAGGTTAATAAGATAATCTTTCAGTCGAAACACTGTTCTACCTCGGCAGCTTTGGAAAGAAATTTGGTACAAGACATTTCTTGTCCCCAAAGAATTAATTCGAATGACTTTGATGATCCCCTGTGCCACCACCACACCAACAGGATCTTTTTACACTTACAATTTACACTTTTCCAAAGTATAGTCCCAATAAAATGACAGTCAAAAGACAGATTCGATTTAATCTCTTCAGTGACGGCATTTAGGGTATATGCTTCATGTACGTCACGGTTTAATTGTTACATTTCCATTGCATTTTTTTTTTGTGTTTATCGATCCACCAGCTTTTCAAGTGTAAAATACTTTTTCACAATATTGCAACTTTAAAAAAAATCTAATTTCTGTTCTGCTCAATGTTTTTATTTGATGCACTTAAAAAACGTATGGAAACACAATTATTAATGAATGCTTCCTAAAAAGATTAGCTCCTGACAGCTCATTGCAGGACCTCATTAAAGGACCTCATTATTTCTGAGATGTTTTACATATACTACTTGTCATCTTGACCACAAAGCAGTGAGCTTTGCTGTTAGACAAAATGCCCCTGGACTTTTAAATATTGTTTCTCTCTGGCTATCATCTGCTCGTCCAATCTGGACTTGATTTGCTTTGGTAATTTAACAAGGGCTGTCAAACACACACAGTAATATAATAGACAGAAAGGCTATGTAATATAATCAATAGCATTTTTGTTTGAGTTTCTTCACACGGTCAACTCAACTCAGATTCTGTCTTGTGCTTGCACGCGATGACTGGCGCTGTGATTTTATGATATGTGGTGGTAAATACACACTCAGGACCTGAAGGGACAGAAGCTGAAAAAGTCATGATTAAGTCTTTGTATTGTGTCTGCGTGCACGTGTGTATAGGCTTGCAAATTGATCTGCAAGTGTGCATTAATGTGTAAATCGTTCTTTATAAATTATGGATTCATTCAGCATAATCATGAGGATGAACTGCACCGCGAACAGCACCTTACATTATGGAACAAAAAGAGGCATGTTTGAAGCCACTAACACTGTGTCTGAATGAAACCAGTATGTCATCATATAATATGTTTATTACTAGGTATTCATTAGCGGTGGGTGACATGGACCTTGTATCAAGGTATGTAATTTTATATCACAACAGCACTATATATCTCAATACAGTAATAGATTACATGACAGTCTAGCCCTGATTTGCATAGCCTATAGCACCAAGTAGTGTTTCCCCTAGGTTAACTGTCAAGGGTCATAGACAAAACTGCTGTTGCTGTTCACCATCAGCTTAAGCCTATGGCATTTTAGATTGCATAAATTTGCCTAGCAGCCAGTGGAGTTTCCTGTACTCATAGCTTAACAAATTACATATTATTAATATTTTTCTTACTCGCCATTGGTTGAAGTCATTGCATCTCCGGACCATAGCTCCCGACACAACACCACGGCTGGATTACAGCTGTATGTAACGTAACGAGTCGTCAACTCCAGTAACTTAACGTTCACTTCACCTGTCTCTCTGCTCGCCTCAGTGTGTGCAAAGCATCGCCCTCAGTGAAACACAGCAAGCAGTAGAGGAGAGAAACTAATTTGACCGTAAATTATAACAAAACTCATACTGCCCAACCCTATTCAACATGTATTACAGTTTTTCTCAGTTGCTTAAAGAGTATAACCAGGCTTTTGAACAAAAATTTCAAAACCATAACTTGATTTTTTTTTAAAGCACAGCCATATCTCTAAACTCTACACACAAATCCCTTCCTTTCTCATTGCCTACATCATGTGGTCATTTAGAAAGCACTAACATTCAATACTGTTCACTCAAGTCAGCACAGCTTGAGTTAAATTAGCACACAGCTACCCAGGTGGAAACACAAAGAGTCATTATTGATAACACACCAATCAGAAGCTTCAATAGATAGATAAAAGGGTCAGAGTCAGTTTTGGAACAATGGATACATAGAGATGTGAAGGAAGAGGTACAGGACATCAGAGGAGAGGAGCAGGAAGAGGAGGAGGAGGACGAGCAGTATGGAGAGGAGTTAGAGGTGAAGGAAGAGGAACAGTAGGAGTTGGAGGAGGAGATGGAATAGGAGGAATATGAGGAGGAGGAGGAGTTGTATGGCGGAGGAGAAGGGAGGAGGTGGAGGACGAGAATCTCTGGCCTGTCCCAGACCAAAGACACGACGCATGGGCAGAAAAATTTGTTGTTTAGTGTGTTGTACTGTATAATACACTAAGGAATAAAAAGTGTGCAAATGTATACTTTTGTTGTGTTCATCATGTGAAAATATTCTTGATTAGGAGAACCAGAAGCAACATTACTTATAACCAGTTTTTGTAGTATTGTTTTGAATTTATGTCACTAAAGTGTAAGACTTTGTAGTAGTGTGTGTGTGTTTTTGAGGGCTTGTGTGTTATGTCTGAGGGCAAAGTTGTTGTTTTTTCAGCAAGATTGAATGTTTTTGAGTGGAGAGCTTCATTCTGACCTGAAAATAGGATGTTTGGGGAATTTGGTGAGAAGTTGTGGATTTGTGTTCAGATTTTTGAGAAATAGAGGCAGACTTTCAAGAAATGTGTTTAAGCAATGGAGAAAAACTCTAATATTTACACTAATACTGTATGCTGTTTGTACATGTCACACTTTTTCAAATATGGGAGGGGGCATTGGTAAATCTATCTTACTATGGCGCTACTTGTCTTTACCTGACACTTGTCTTCATCGTTCATCTTGGACTCCTTTCCCCAATTCTCTACTTAATTTTCCCTATCTTTCTGCCTTTATTGTCATGGTCTAGGTTGTTGTTTTAGTGTTTCCTACTTTAGTTTGAAGTTTGTCTGTCCCTAGTGTTCTTGTCTTGTTTTACTTTCTGTCCTTGGTTGTTGCACCTGTCTCATTCTCCTGATTGTCATCACCTGTGCCTTATTTTCCTCATCCCGCCTGTGTGTGTCTACAGTACAGTGGTTGTCTTCCTGGTGGTAGTTGCTAGTTCATTGTTCATCATTGTCCTTCGTGTCTCCAGTTACACTGTGTCTTGTCTTGTGGTCTTGTACTCTTCTCTGTGAATTTAATGGACTATCGCCGTTTGTTTCTAAATACATCTTGTTTTTCACTGTGGACTACTTTACTATTGTTTGGATGTATCAGTTAATTAAACCTCACTTCACTTATATTTACCTGCTCCATGCTTATATCTGTGTTTGGGCCTAAAAGCCCTGTTTCCGTGTTTAGTCTGATGGCTGAATGTTACACCAATCCTATATTCCATCTCTTTCCATTCTCTCTACTTCTGTACTGCCTCTACTCTCCTGAATCCTGTCTTAATTTTTTAAGCTCCCCTTTTTTCCCAAATCAGGTCAGGACAGGATGGATATTCAGAGGATAAACAACGTCATAGGATTTATCATCTGATGACTAAAGTGTTTCCTCAAAAGATGGAATCTGTTACGTTGAGTCAAGCAGGGAGCTGGAAAAGCAGGGATTCGGACCCAAAAGCATGACACACAGGCGGAGCAGATGCACTTTATAGTAGCCGCTTTCACACAGAGATCCTGCAATCAACGCAGAAAGAATGTCTGCCAATATGCTGCATTCACTCATTCAT